GTTAACAGGTAACTGAGAAGGCAAATATAATTTCTGCAAGGAGAATAGTGTATAGAAGTTGGCAGCTGTGGAGACTCAGTCACTGATTATGCTCAAGACTGAGACTGATAGATTTCTACATATTAAAAACACATACAGCAACAGTACAGAAAAACAGTGAAGTATAGGACCAGCCATAATTTCATTGACAGAAATGGCTCAAAGGGCTAAATAGTTTACACATGCTTACAATAGTCAGGACAAATAATTAATGGTACCAACAGAGGTTAATGGATGTGAACTTATAGCCTTTATGGAAGCATGTTTACAAAGAGATTAAAGTTGGGAACTAAACATTCAGAATATGTGACTTTTGTGACAATATATTACAGATCCAATCAGATATCAAACTATTTGGAACTGAATATAATCAATGGCCCAGTGATATTCTGGTCTCTCAGAATCACGTCACGGTGGCTCAGTGGTTAGCACCACTGCTTCAGCCAGATTCAATTCCAGCACTGGGAAACGGTCTGTTAGAGTTTGCACGTTCTCTGCTAGTCTGTGTGGGTTTCAGTAGGGTGCTCCGTTATCCTCCCACAATCCAAAGATGCGCAGTTTAGATGGATTGGCCACGCTAAATTGCCACAGCATCCAGGAATGTGCAGCTTAGGTGGGTTAGCCATGGGAAATGCAGAATTAAGGGGGCTGGGGCTGGGTCTGGGTGAGATGCTCTTCAGATGATCGGTGCAGATTCAGTTGGCCAAATGGCCTCATTCCACATCGTAAGGATTCTATAATGAAACTATAGATTTGAAGTGGAGTTGAAGCTTTGGATCAGCAATGATCGTGGTAAATAGTGGCGCAGGCTTGACTGGTTTTATGGTCTTTTCCTTCTATTTCTTGAAGTTCATCCAAAAATAGATATCAAATCCAACATTAGTAAGAGTCATTTGAAATTTAGCTTTTCCTTAAAAACAAATGTTCAAACTCCAAACTCATTTGTCCATGGATTTAAATTACAGAATCAATTCTGTATTCCCATTACTCTTACAAACACATTTGAAATCCAACTTGACCTCTGTAGTACAGAACTCCATGGATCAGCACTCCGAAGCCAGCAAAGGACCTAGTCAGATTATCCAGATTCTCTATCACTCTACCAACTCTACGTCAAAACTGGTTCACCTTACCTCACCTCACTTCCTTATCCCTCTTCTCTCAATTCACCCATCCCAACTAAACTTCCCAAAACCGTAGCCCAGCTTTTGCTCACCCCAATCTCAACTCTCCCCTTCTGGCAACCTTCTCTTAAACCGAACCCCATCTCTACCCTTATTTTCCCCACTCCCTCCTCCACCCTCTGAAATCGATGCCCTCTCTTTCAGCCTCTCCGGTCTCCCCCGTCTTCTGTAATCTTTCCAAATCCCCAGTGCTCCCCCTCCCTTCTCCTCCACCCCTTTCCCCTCTCCTACATCCCCCTCATCACTCCTCTCACCCCGCACCCACCTCACATCAGGTGCGTGAAGAGGAAAGGTTTAAGAGTGATAACGGGCCAAACGCAGGGAGGTTTAGCTGAGGGAAAGCGGGTCGGCACGGCCGGGTTGGGCCGAAGGGCCTGTTTCCGTGCCCCTCACCTCTCGGAGAAACGGAGTAACTCTGTCCGGAGCTGCTTCTCGATGCCGGATCTCTGCCGCTTGAGGAAGACTGGGGACAGGGTGATGTGCCTCCGGCAGGTGTCCAGCACCAGGCACGAGTACGGGCTCTTGATGAGGGAGCAGGCCTGGCTGAAAGAGAGCTGCTGTCCTCTCCCTGGGACCACACTGCCCTCCTGCCCAGGGTTCGCCATGCTGCTGCTGCCGTAAAGCGGCGCCGAGCTGTCGTAAAGTGGGTCTCCGGCCACCAGGTGGCGCTGGTTTCCAGTCAGAAGTGGTGCAGGGAGTAGGAGAGGAGTGAGGGCTAGATGGACCAGTTTATACAACTGTGGTTATCACATTACTGTCAGAATTCTCAATAGCTTTAAAAATCATCCATGTAGAGAGTTAGAATCGCACTCACTGTCCACTTGGTATGATTCCAGTGCTGAAGGAGGCCATTCAGTGTGGTTTTTTTTATTTAGCGAGCCCTCTGTAATTCACCAGGTGCTGCTAACCCTGTACTTTTCCTTTTAACAAAATAAAGATAAAATTCCCTTTGATTCTGTCTCCACCACAGTCTCAGCCAGTGCATTCTCGACCCTCAACATCTCCCCTGAATGCTTCCTTTACCAGTTACCAAAAGTTTGTGTTCTGTAGTCTTTGATGCTCCCATTAATGTTCACTCTCTACCTATTCTGTTCAAACACCTCATGATTTTAAACAATTCTATTAAATCACACTTCAACCTCCTCCAAGGAGTACAATTCCAGTTTGTCTAATCTACCAAGATGTTCCTCATCTCTGCAGGCAATTTTGTGAATAGTTTTCTATTGGCAAGGATGAAGTGTCCTTCTGCTCACAGTGAAATGAATGCTGGGACATTGTTGGGCTATCGGTCTTGTTGGTTGATAAAGTTTATGGCCTTTATGTTGCCATGACTGACTACCTTCAGTGCTAAGCCCTTAATTGGGTCCTCGTACAATAGATTTTATCAGTTCTAATTCATTTCATTCAACCTCCCATTCATAGGCTTTATTTTCTGTTAGGCCTTTTTTTGTGACCCAACTTAGGAGAAAAAAGGTGTTTGTTAATATTCCGTGTAAATCCTTCAAGCTCTGCCTTACCTATCTCCCTTGATATTCCCACTCTTCCCCAGATACCGGGCCCAGCCTTAGTTTTACCCTGCCACTTATTCAATTCATTCTCTTTCTCAACCTACAACACGACTCAATATCTCATTTCCCCACTATGTAACTATGTAACTCCACCCTTCCTTGTCCCCTTGCCCAATCACTGTAACTCTTTTCCCTGCATCCCAATTTTCTCCCTCTATTTTCCAGTGCCGCTAACAAACACAATCTTCTAGTTCCCTTCCCTACTATTCTTTCTACTTAACCAAGCTTTAGTTGAACCTTTTTTTTGTCCAATCCTCTCACTTCAACCATCATCAGGCTTGCTCATGACAGCCAGTGTGCTGGCTTATTCTTTTGCTTGGACAGGCTAGTTGGCCTGGACAGTCTTCACTGTTTGCATTGTAACATTAAATGCCAAGCAAGACTGCATATAACTTAGACTTCTTATGACCAGATTAACCAAGATGGGTTTCACCACTCTGTATAACTACAGAGATGCCAAAAAAACTGACTTTTTGGCTGCACTGGAATCAACACGAAATAACAATGGACTAAAGGAGGATATACAACAGACCATCAGACAGACATTAGTCCCAACATTGAGCAGAAAAGGTGAGTGGAACGCATTTAACCCTGGACTGAAGAAAGCCCTGGAAAGATTCAAGAAAGACAGAAACATCGTAATCTTACTGGCGGACAAAGGACGCATGACAGTAATCCTTAATAAAGCCCAATACATCAAGAAAGCTAACCCATTACTAGCAGATACCAACATGTACCAACAGATGGTGATAGACTCAAAGCCACAGTTAGAGAAATGGATCAAAACAACCCTGAAGAAATTACACAACTCAGGAGATATCAGCAAGACAGACTACCAGAAAAATGAAGCCAGAGAGATCCAACATGCCCCGCTTCTATAGACTCCCCAAGGTACACAAGCCAGGGGTCCCCCTCAAACCCATTGCCTCACTACCAGGCACACCAACATATAGACTAGCCAAAGAGCTACAACAGAAACTGAAATACTTAGCTGACAACACTAACCACTCCATCCACTCCTCCCAAGAATTCTTCAACATCATCAAGGACACCAGGATAGAAGAGGACGAGATGAAGATATCCTTTGACGTAACAGCACAAGTTACTTCCATAAACATCGACCTAGCCAAAGAGACAATTGCCACACTGCACCAACAGCATCAACAAGGACAGCACCCTGAAACTGCTGGACCTGTGCCTCACAACCCACTTCACCTTCAATGACTGTATATTCAAACAAATCAATGGAGCACCAATGGGATCCCTAATATCAGAACTGATAGCAGAAGCGGTAATGCAAAGGTTAGAATGGAAGCGCTCCCCACTGTACAATCCAAACTCGTGGTCCGCTGTGTAGATGACGCCTTTGTGATTATCAAACACACAAGAATAGAAGAAACCCACTGACACATCAGCAACATCCTCACCGGAATAAAATTCACAAAAGAAGAGGAAATAAATAACTGACTACCCTTCCTAGCAATAATGGTGGAACATAAGATCAACGGGAACTTGATACTAGCGTACACAGAAAGACCACCCATATGGACCAGATACATAATTACTCCAGCACACACCACAACACCCACAAATGTAGCTGCATCAGGACATTATTCAAATAAGCCACAACACACTGCAGCAATCCGGAATTGTGCAAAGCAGAACAGGAGCTCTTATAGGAATTTTTAAAAGGAATGGATACCCAAAAAGCACAATGCACCATTACCTCTGCGACAGATCACAACAAGAAACACAACATGGCCAGATACACTAGTCACCCTACTGTACATCACAGACATATCAGAGATGACCACAGACTACTCAGACCCCTAGGTATCAGGGGAGCCCACAAACCAACAACCACCCTGCGACAGCTACTGACGAAAGTAAAGGATCCCATACCCACAACCAATAAAACTAACGTGAAATACAAAATACCAGGACTGTGAGAAACATTACATAGGCAAAACTGGAAGAAAACTGACAATAAGGATACACTAACACCAAGTATCCACCAAGACACACAACCAATTCTCACGGTCTCAGTACACACAGACAAAGAAAGACACAAATTTAACTGGGACAGCACATCCATAATAGCACAAGCCAAACAGAGACATGCCAGGGAATTCCTGGAGGCCTGGTATTCCAACCAGAACGCCATTGACAAACACATTGAATTAGACCCTGTGTACAAACCAATGAGAAACAGAACCAGAAATAATACCAACCACCCCAGCAAACTGAGGTATATAAATAACAGGCAGAACAGAACACGAATGCTTCACCGGAGGTGCACTGAAGATGTTACCTAGCAGGGTGACGAAATATTTGCAACCAAACCCACTGGCTCGGCAAGCATGTCTACAACTTCATGTAGACGGTTTCTTGTTGGGATCTATTTTATGAATAAATAGATTATATTGTCTGTTAAAAAAAAGATTTCTGTGAGTCTTGTCACATCTCTAACTTGTTAATTGACATATACAGGTCAATAGATACTCTTTCTATTTATAGTACTATAAAAGACAATACCTACTTAGACAGAGTCTTTGTTTATGATCGCAGCATGTTCCAAAGTATTTTGCTGGTCACAAGGTGCTTTCTCGAGGTAAGTTCAACGAAAAAAATTCAAGCTGGGTATAAAACAAGGAGCTGAATTGAAATTCCCCAATTTGTGCTATCTGTTTCAAAATGCAAAATTTGCCCTCACCCTCCTTCCCTGGTAGGTATTTGTTAGAGGTGATACATCTGGATGGCTAATACTGAGTGGGGTACCTCAGGGCTTACTTTTGGGATCATTACAGTGAGCATCACATCCTTTAGTTATTCCACCAAATTCCTTTATTGATTTCATCAGTGCAGTATCTGAGAGCTTAATGAAGGCTGTTAATGCACTCAAAGCAGCAACACCCTCTTTCTTTCTAAAAGGCAGCTGGAAACAGTCCTGAGAAAAGTATTCTTCTTCTGTTCATTCCTTCATACTTCAGTCCTTACTTTGAGGCGAGGCGATGGTCTCGAGATATTGCCACTGGACCAGTAAGCCAAAGACCCTGGTAATGTTCTGGGGACCTGGGTTTGAATTCCACCACAGCAAATGGTGGAATTCCAATTTGATAAAAATCTGGAATTAAAAACCTAATGATGACCCAGAAACCATTGTTAGTTGTTGAGAAAACCCATCTAGTTCACTAGTGTCCTATAGGAAGGAAACTATTGTTCTCTCCTGGTCTGGCTCCAGACCAACAGTAATGTGCTTGACTCTTAACCACCATCTGAAATGGCCTAGCAAGCCACTCAGATGTATCAATTACAAGAAAGTAATAAAAAAGTGAAACAGGTCACACCCACTTGGCATTGACCAAGGAAAGGACAATAGCAAACACAACCCTGTCAACTCTACAAACTAACTCTGACTTACTAACATCTGGGCTTTCATGCCAAAATTAAGAAAGCTGTTTCATTGACTCATTAAGTAACTACTTGATATAGTCATACACACAGAATGATACTTCACAGACAATGATCCACTGGCAGGACAGACCCAGTGGATATGGCGATACAGTAGTATACAGTTAGGAGGGACATGCCGTGGGAGTCTTCAACATTGATTCTGCTTGCCACGAGGTGCCACAGCATCAGGTCAAACATGGATAAAGAAATCTCCTGCTGTTTACAACATACCATCATCCCCTCAGCACTTGGAGCAAGCAATAAGGGTGGCATCAAGGCCTCATTTAACCAAGTGTGACATCTAGGAATTCTAGCAAAACTAGCATCAATGAGAATCAAGAAGAAAACTCTCTGCTAGTTGGAGTCAGTCCTAGCCAAAGGAAGTAGGTTGTGATTGTTGGAGATCAGTCATCTCAACTCCAGGATATCCATGCGGGAGTTCTACAGGGTAGCATTCTAAGCCCACTATCAGTAAGAAGAGCAAGTCAGAGGGAAGGAATTTTTCTGTAATCCCCAAAGCACCCCAAAGCCTGTCCAGCATCTACAAGCCACAAGTCAGGACTCTGATGAAATACTCCCCACTTGCTTAGTGCAGCTCTCACATACTCAAGATACTTACCACTATCCAGGACAAAGCGGGCTGCTTAACTGGTCCCACATCCACCAAAATCCACTTCCTCCACTACTGATGCACAGCAGCATCATTGGGTACTATCTATGAGCCGCATTGCAGAAATTCACCAAAGCTCCTTAGATAGCACCTTCCAAACCTATGATCACTTCCACCTAGAAAGTAAAAGGCAGCAGATATATGGGGACACTGCAAGTTTCCCTACAAGCCACTCACCATCATAACATGGAAATGTATCACTATTCCTTCAGCGTCACTGAGTCAAAATCCTGAAATTCCCTCCTTAAGGGCATTGTGGGTGTAACTACACTAACTCGAGGGCAGCTCACTACTACCTTCTGAAGAGCAACTAGGGAGGGGCAATAAATGCCAGTCCAGCCAGTGTCACCCATGTCCAGTAAGTGAATAAAAAAAACTAGGGTATCAGATGGATGGATACATTTCAAAAAGTTGCTTTGAGGAAAATATCAAGTTTTTTAGAAGTCGTATTTTATTTTCTTACTTGTTAACCTCATGGGTCAGTCATCATTTTTATATATTGATCTATTGCCTAGGCAGAGAAAACCGTTAAACCATATTTGGAGCAAAGGTTTATCTCAAAAGGATTAGTTTCTCAGGTCATGACTACAGGACGTTATTGTTCCTTGGTCAGGCAAAAGTAAATTAATATACAAAATGACAAGTCATTTCTCTGAATTCTCTCTTAGGGAGATTCTTTAGCATACCTGGTACTCAAAAATACATCTCACATCATCACATATGAAAATTCCCTTTTGGTCTTGATAGATCTGTGAAAGAGAGTACTAAAACTCAGAACCCAAACACCAAAAAGGCAGTCTGACAAGGATATGCTGAGAAAATATTGGAGCAGCCGGAATCCTAATGGGAAGCAAAGATGGGATTATTCCAAGACCACAAAGAAACAACACAGGCAGACTTATTCTTATTAAGTTAAATAAGAGGACTCAATCCTCTTACAGGGTTAATGGCAGGATTCTTGGTAGTATGGATGAACAGAGGGATCTTGGGGTTCACGTCCATAGATCCCTCAAAGTTGCCACCCAAGTTGATGGGTTGTAAAGAATGTGTATGGTGTGTTGGCTTTCATGGGCAGGGGAATTGAGTTTAAGAGCCACAAGGTTATGCTGCAGCTCTATAAAACCCTGGTTAGACCACACTTGGAATA